GTTGCTTTGTTCCCTTTGCTGTTCTGTTCCACGCCCTCAGTGTTTTGCCTCGGTGTGGTGGGATCAGATGGAATTCCCACACTGTGTCTTCAGTGTTGTCCCCTGTAGGGCTATGGGTCAGTGAGGGATGTCGTGTCTCATAGTGGGGCCGGCCATGTGGTGTCTGTGCACTGGCTGCTCTGAGCGGGAATATCCCCCTCGGGGCTTGCTGGGCCAGGGTGTGCTCCACTCCCTCTTCCTCCCCCTTCATTTGCTCCTGTGTGCTCTGATCAGACATGTCCCTCTCCCTGAGCTGTAGCTTCAGAGCTGTCCTCTGGAATACTTCCGGGGGCAGGGGCAGGTGTCCACCTAGTTGGGATTGGGGCCGGCCCCTCAGACCTCTCCATTTTTTAAAAATCTTAAAGCGTTTCTGACCTGGTAAAGAAATCACCTCACTTTACACACAGTATTCCTCTCAGTGTTGTGGTTGGGGGCTGCTAGCTTCATGGTGCTCCCCATGACGTTGACAGTAGAAAGTCAGTGTGTGTAGACTGGTCGTCCTCTGAGGGGAACCCAGTGCTGCACTGTGGGTTCAGTGGGGAAAGCGGGTGGTGCGGACCTCCCACAGCCACGCGCCCAGTCCGCTTGGAGGCAGCCTCCAACATGGTTGACGACTGTCCGTTTCTAAGCTCAGCGCCGGATGTTGACTGTGGTCCTGGGTCCCTTCACGCCAATCCCCGACGAGACATGTAGTACTTGGGACCCCGGGAGACTGACTTCGGAGAGGCCTGGGAATGACGGCCTGTACAGCACTGGGGAGCGCCAGTTCTGGACAGGGAACCCGCCACCCTCAAGAGGAGCGCCTCCCTCCGCAGAACTGTAGCATCTGGTAGCAAAGGAGAATGATAATCCTCACTTAGCGGTCACAGCTACCAGTGGAGGACCTTCCCCCACCACAAGAAACCCCCCCAAAACCCAACTAGTTGACACCAGCCATCCCTTTGCTTTGCTCCTGGGTTCCACAGTCTGCTGTAGTGGTCACACAATTCACAAGTCATATTCTCATGCTTGGGTGGGTCTTTAGGGAGTAACTGCCTACAATGGGGTCAGGATCAACGACCGTAAACAGGAACAACTCAGGGTACGCTCTCTGGTCAAGCCAACTGCTGCTTGACTGCCCACAGGCAGGCCTAGCTCTTGGCCTTGAATCTGGCTTCCTCTCTGCTTGGGCAAGTTATTTCTCACGTCCACTGATAGTACCCAGAAGCACCTCACTCTGCTAGGAACACCTGCCCACAGGTGCTCAGCTGGATGCATGCGCTCACTGCAGCCCTCTGCCAGGCCTCTGCCCCCTCCAGTGTCTCGTGGGTCTAGGGTAGTGGTTCTCAACCTGTGGGTCGTGACCCCTTGGGGCGTCGAATGACAGTGTCACAGGGGTCGCCCGATTCATAACGAGATTACAGTTCTGAAGTAGCAACGAAAATAATTTTATGGTTGGGGGCTACCACCACATGAG